CTGCCTCAGCCTCCCAAGTAGCTGGGACTACAGGCGCCCGCCACAACGCCCGGCTATTTTTTGTTGCAGTTTGGCCGGGGCTGGGTTTGAACCCGCCACCCTTGGTATATGGGGCCGGCGCCTTACTCACTGAGCCACAGGCGCCTCCCAATCATGTAGCTTTATACAAGTTATTTTCAGCCTCAGTGTCCTTGCTCATGAACTAGGAAAACTTGTCATGGCCCTCTACTTCTGAAGGTATGAAATGAGGTGTTAGTGAAAAAGTATAAAAAGTAGGTCAGGCAAGGTGCCTCATGCCTGTAATCGTAGCACTCTGGGAGGCCAAGGTGGGTAGATTGACTGAGCTCAGGTCAAGACTAGCCTGAGCAAGAGTGAGACCCCATCTCTAAAAATAGCTGGGCATTGTGGTGGGTGCCTATAGTCTAAGCTACTCAGGAGACTAAAGCAAGAGGATCACTTGAGCCCAAGAGTCTGAGATTGCTATGAGCTATGATGCCACACCACAGCACTCTACTGAGGGTGACAAAGTGAGACTCTGTCTCAAAAAAAGAAAAGAAGGCCAGGCGTGATGGCTCACATCTGTAATCCCAGCACTTGGGGAGGCTGAGGTGGGTAGATTGCCTGAACTCTCAGGTTGGAGACCAGCCTAAGCTAGAGTGAGACCTCATCTCTAAAAATAGCCAGGTGTTGTCACAGGCGCCTATAGTCCCAGCTACTAAGACAAGAGAATTGCTTAAGCCCAAGAGTTTGAGGTTGCTGTGAGCTATGACACCAGAGCACTCTACCAAGGGTGACAAAGTGAGACTCTGTCTCAAAAAATAATAATAATAAAAATCCCAGAGAAGTTTAGTGTCTCATATCCCCTCCCAATGGGTAGATTAACTCTTTTAGAGTTGAAAAGATCTTCCAAAGATCCCGTCAACTTAACTACTGGGAGGATAAGCATTTGGATTTAATTGCCCCCTTAGCCGCTGCAAACTGTACATGATGGGGAAGAGACCAGTTCACAAGAGGAATGGGATACTGTTAGGAAAATGGGAATGGATGTGAGCAGGCCAAAAAATGAACACACATTCACCACTGAGATTTCAGGACTTGAAGACTTACCTCACTCCATATAATTGCACAGACTTCTGTAACTTATTTAACCATTCCCTAATCATGGATAATGCAAGGGGCCAAGAGAGAAAACAGAGCCCTACAAGGACAGACTAAAAAGAGATTCTTGAGGCTGAAATGGCCATGCCTCATTCTCATTCATTAACCTCACTTTGAAGAAAAAAATATCTGGTATCTTTTCCAGTGCTAGGGCATATGTTCAATGCCCAGTAAACACATACTCAGTGAACAACTGAGTGGTTGAAGAGGACCATCTCTTTTTCTCTGCATTAGTCTGGTAGAGCAATGGCTTTGGAGCTGAGAATAAGTACTCTCCTAGCACCATCTGCTGGCAGTGGAAAACCATTTCCTGAATCCTAGCCTCCAATTTCATTCACTAGTATTGTTAATCCTGAAAGTCCTCCTCTCAATAGTGGTACCACAGAACCTACCTTTTATCCACTGACAAAGGAAATCACAAAATACTGACTTTTGATTTTTGTTTAATTTTTTTAAACACAGTCTCACTCTGTCACTCTGGAAGAGTGCCACGGCATTAGCCTAGCTCACAGCAACCTCAAATTCTTGGGCTCCTCCTGCCTTAGCCTCCCCACTAGCTGGGACTACATACACCCACCATGATGCCCAGCTAACTTTTCTATTTTTAGTAGAGACGGAATCTCACTAACTCTTTCTTAGGCTGGTCTCCAACTCCTGAGCTCAACCAATCCACCCACATCAGCCTCCCAGAGCGCTAGGATTACAAGCATGAGCCACCCTGTGATGAGCAAGGCAGGCATGGTCTCTGTCCTTCTAACATAGTGGAGGGGAGAAGTATTTAAAATATAATGAATTCAAAGAAAGGAAAGAGTCAAAGTGCAACTTACGGCAGGACCAGTGTCACTCTGAAGACTGTTATAAATGCATAATATCAAAGATATCTCCCTCCTCCCGAATAAAAAACTATATTTTCATGAAATCCTCGGGTGACTCCCAGTTCATATTAATGCCCGATAAGTGCTACTCTGGAAGCTTCCAGAGACAGCAAGACTTGAGTTGTGTTTCAGGATTTTATGTACACTGGGAGAGCAAGCAGCATGTTCCAGTCGATAAGACCACCAAGGGAAAGTTCTGAGATAGCAAGATTTCCCGTTTCCAGTCCAACATACCAAATAGTGTTGACTGCTGTCAGACACCGCCCTAAGTGCTTTACATAGGACATCTCATACAATCCTCTTATTGTTAGGGAGCTGTTAGGGAGTTGCAATATTACTGGGGAATGGACGGGTTAAATAACTTGCTCAAAGGACTCACTGAGAGAGTCAAGCAAACCAAATCGGAACCATTCTTCTTTACCAATCTAAGTCGTCCGCAAACACCTCCAACCCTTACACGAGAGCCAGAGCAAGACCTTCCTCTTCCTCCGCCAAGCCAAAACGCAGAGCGCGCGCCGGTAGCGCGGCGCCAATACTACAGCGGAAGCAGAGGTGAATTGTGGGAACGTTCCATGTTTACGGCCTAGTCGCTAGCGTGTTGAGGCTATAACTTAAATGAAAAGGGCTGGGTTTTGAAAGTGACACAGGCTCTGAAAAGTCTGGAAGGGGTGCGAAGGAAGCTTTGTGCTACTTTTGGCAGAAATCAGAGTTAGCAAGACCCTAAGCGGTTCAGTGCTGCCAACTACGCTATGGATGTCTGGGTCCTCCAACGTAAGCTAGAACGGCCGCCTCTATGGTCCGTTCTTCCCGTGTGGTGCTGGTGCGCATGCTCAGTAGCGGAACGCTGGCAAGATGGCGGAGCAAGAGTAAGTCTTGCGATAGTTGCGTTCCTGGAGTGGGGTTTTGAATATTCGGTGCCATCCAGTGTTTACGGTAGCGGTAAATAAGGATTTATGGGCTGCGGGAAGAGAAAAGGGTCCAGATTACAGCGGGCAGGAGTGAGAAACCGTTGGGCTTGGGGAGTAGAGGGGCCCACAGTCAAATTCGGATAATCTTGAAGATTGCCTTCACGCAGCGGGTTGGAGTGGCAGAGGCTGGATTCACACAGTATAACTTTAGCATTCAACCTGCAGATGGGTCTGCACTCACCCCAACCCCACGAGGTTTTACTAACTAGACAATCGTTGCTACCATTGCCTCTGAAAGGCTGTGGCAGGAAAAACTATCACGTTCCTGACTTTCTGAGGCTTTGGGGAGGAACGAATATTAGGGTTCCATTTTGAGGATGAGTTAGAAGCCACAGGTTTCGGGGAAATCTCAGTCCTCAGGAAACTGAAGATAGCAATGTTCCCTAAAACTTAGGTTATTGAATTAGTTTGGAAATTCACTGAATGTTCGTCTCCTAAACATTTTTGTCACTGATCTCGATTTTCTTTATCAGGGAAAGAAAAAAGATCCCTTTGGTCCCAGAAAATCTCCTGAAAAAGAGGAAAGCTTATCAAGCCCTCAAAGCCACCCAGGCAAAGCAGGCACTTTTGGCAAAGAAGGAGGTAATGGTGGGGAACCAAAAGGAGGGAATTAGAGTTTGTATTTGGTGAGTTTTATCCAGCATGTAACTAGATTTGATAAGGGGGAGTCCCTTTTTAATTGGTTTATATCAGGTACAGTGGTCTCTCAGGTATTCTCATCCTTTATATAGGCCGCCAAGGTGGCTAACGCCTGTAATCCTAACATTGTGGGGGCGGGTGGATAGCTTGAGCTCATGGTTTCAAGACTAGCCTGAGCAAAAAGCAAGACACACCCCACCCTCCCAGCCCCTGTCTGTACTAAAAATAGAAAAACTGAGGCAAGAGGATCTTTTGAGCCCAAGAGTTGGAGATTGCTTTGAGCTATGACGCCATGGTACTCTACCCAGGGAGACAGCTTGAGGGAAAAAAAAAATCCTTTTAAATGCCACAGTATGTAATCTGTACTCCTCCTGTATGCTTTAAATTATTTCTAGATTACTTACAACATCTAATACAATCTAAACGTTATGGTTTTGGGGGGCCTTTTTAGAGACAATTTCACTTCATCACCCTTGGTGGAGTGCCCAGGTATCACAGCTTACAGCAACCTCCAACTCCTGGGCTTAGGTGATTCTCTTGCTTCAGTCTCCCTAATAGCTGGGACACCAGGTGCCCACCCGGATGCCCATCTATTTTTTTGTTACAGTTTGGCCAGGGCCAGGTTTGAACCTGCCACCATCAGTATATGGGGCCAGCACCCTACTCACTGAGCCACAGGTGCTGCCCAATGTTATGTATTTTAAAAATTTGTATTTTTTATTGTATTTGTCATTTTTACGGTATCTCCTCTCATCCTCAGCCCCCAATTTTTTTTTTTTTTTGAGACAGAGTCTCACTGTGTCACTCTCTGTAGAGAGCTGTGGCATTGCAGCTCACAGCAACCTCAAACTCTTTTTTTTTTGAGACAGAGCCTCAAGCTGTCCCCCTGGGTAGAGTGCCATGGCATCACAGCTCACAGCAACCTCCAACTCCTGG